TAGAATAAAATGAGAAAACAGAAAAATAACAGAATAACACGCAAGACAAAGAGTAAATTAAGGATTATTTACAGCGGTTAGAACAGAGTGCTTGAACGGTAGAGAAGATATCCCAAAAAAATTAAGATTACTGTAAAATTTGTTCGCGTTGGTGCATAAACGACTTAAGGAGTTAAATTTCCCATAAAGAGTCCGGTGAGTCTTTCTGTAGAATATGGTATGTATTCTTGGGTGAGAGGTGGGGACGTGGAATTGTAATTCTGATAGAATGTCGGGGCAGGTAATCAGCTGATTGATAACTTTATAAATAAACATTTATGTCGTCCCTGTAGAATTTTCTTGGATTCTCATTTAAATATTTTGCGCTTTCGGTCCGAACTTATGGGATAACAAATGGGAAAGAAAACAGGCTTTTTTTTTTTGTAATCGTACGCTCAATAGAGAACCATACCTGCAAACCTAAAGAAATCTGTTTACCGATTATCGCGATGTAAAAGACTGTGTTACCGATTGGACAAACAGTTGTACAGGATATTTTGCACGAAAAAATTCGATTAATAAAAAAGAAGGAACATCAATTTTCTCCGACAATGTAAAAATGGCTAAAGACAAAAATAAGCGGGGGAAATTTTAAAATTAGCACGATTCGACGGTGCTCAGGAGATAAGTATGTACCTAACAATAAGTAACGGTGAACGAAATTTTGAAAAAGAACCACTATCGGTATCGCGAAAGATGAAGTTTCTTAAATCTCAGGATTAGAGATGATTATTTACGTTTTACAATTAGCAATTCTACGATGTGTCACGAAGTTAGTGGAACAAATGGAGAAGAATAACGGTAATCTGTAGGTACACCTAAACAGCGCTAAACTGTTCGTTTAATTATTCGTGAAAAGGCGGGAAAATCGATAGGTTCGAAATCGGGGAATAGAAAATTTCGCAAAAACCCAAGTAATAGCGTTTGACCGTATAGATTACGAGCGAACAACCTGGTGCAATTGCACGTTTCGACGCGTTACGAACCGATTAAATCCGCGCTCGTGCGTCATTAGCGGGGTGGGGGAGAAACGCGATGACGGTTTGAGCAACATTAAAAGCGCGGCGCAACGCGAAACGGTATTCAACGATGCTGATCCACACCGACACGGACCATTTTTTTACTCTGGCATATCAGTCACTCGAGGCGGTATGTGTACGCGCCGATGGATAAATCAATAAACCAATAGCTATGGTAATGCACACCTGCTTTCAAAGTATCAGCCAACCCCTACGCGGCCCCGTTTACGCGGTCCGTGCAATTATAAAACCGTACCGGATTTTCCGCTTCCTCGCTATTACCGCGAATCCATCTCCTGTAAAAATGATTTTCTTTCAACGGGGATTTCATTTGAAAAAATACGTTTTCTATCTTTCCCTTTTCGTAATTTCACCCCGCTTCGATATGTTTACTCTATTGGGTAATTGATTAGGAGTAATTCTCAATTTGCCTATCTCACTTCGTAACGATGTTAGTTTTGATTTTGACAAATGCCAATTTTCTGGTGTTTTTTGTGGAAAGAGGAACGGTATATTTTTAACGTAGGTCAGATTATAGGAGCAGTGTTCAATTATTTAGGTTTTCTTTTTTTAGTTATCGACATATGGTAAGAGGCGATATTTAAATATTATTGTTATTTATCTTCATTCAACGAAGATTTGATTTGGATATCTTAAATGTTACTTACTTAAGAATTTCGCTGTTTCACGTGGATTATTGTGATCATTTTCTCTGAATGGGAGATTTCATTTGAATCTGTCGAAATTTCGCTGCACCCACGTAAAATCTGCATAATCAATCGAAGGGAGTTATTGTGTAATAAAAGAATATTTTCTTCCTTATTTGTTGTCGATAAAATATGGTTTAATACGAGATATGAATTAACATTAACGTAAATATGTTATTTTTCAGATATCATATGTTAAACAGCTCTTCGCTTGTTCTTAACGAATAACTCTTTTACTCGTCCGTATTTTTCTTATTATGTCCATTGGCAAATTTAGTAGCTTTAAAAGACCAGTTGCTTAAATCGTACCTTTCACACGATATCGAACAGAGGCTTCTAACAGATTGATCTATTCTGTGAAAAGGGTTAACTATGTAGCAACAAGTGTTGTAAATATTAACATTCAATTAAATTAGCGTCAAATAGGAAACGTAGCACGAAATATCTGTTGAAAGACGACGTCAGAAACTCTCCCTTAACCAATGAAATGTAGCCAAAGGGTGTGAAGGACATGAAATAGTTTCAAATCGTCGTGATCACGTTACGTAGTAATGCGACACAACCAGTATCATAAAGTACAAGAATAACCATATTTAAAATCGAAAATACCGGTTCCTTTTCGACAACAGACGAGATATAGTTACTTTGGTTCGCATGACTAAGTCAAAAGTAATAGTTCTATTGTACGCGCGGTGGTACACACGTCGTAGCCCCATACCGTATTATTATGCGCGACGCTTAGACAGGCAGTGGTAGTAGGTAGAGGTAAGCAGAAAGAGAGATATAGAAGGATCGAAATCGTAGAATGCTTAATACATAGAATGCTTTTATTCCGTTCTCATTGCGGGGTAAATAACATCTGTACATTAGATCACTATAAAATCGGTCGCCATTGGTGAACGACAATAGGGCTTCTCCCCCCATTGAAACCTCATTGTAGAATATGATTCAAGAAAGGTTCGTCGCTATGACGTTGTGCGCCCGTGTGGTTTACAGAGAGTGGAACTCGATGGATCTGAAAAAAAAGGAAGAAGAAGGAAATAGAAATAAGAAAAAAAAGAAAAGAGAGAGAGAGAGTGAAACGAAGGAAAGAGAGAGAAGGTCGAGCCACAAGCAACCGTGACCGAAGCGAATCGAAGAAAAGAGAAAAGGCAAAAGGAGGGAGAAAAAGGAAAAAACAGAGAGAGAGCGCGCGCGCGTGCAAGAGTGAGAGAAATAAGAAGGAAAGAAGAAATAAAATAAAGAAAGAAAGAAATAAAGAAGGACATGTTCCTTCTGCGAAGGGAACGAAGAAGGCGTGCATGGTTAAAAACAGTCCGGACGAAACAAAAGGCGGAGCATAGAGAGAAACGTCTGAGCATCGCTCGGCATTGTGTTTTACGTTTGGAACGGGTTTTAAATAAAAGAGTAATGTGTTTGTCCGTTTTGCCTCCGCTCAGAGTAGAGTGCACGATAGAAAATACACACGTCTGATACGCGCGTCTGTACGCATAGTTTATCGAGGGTGAGTAGGTAGGTGGGTACGCGGTTAGGTATGTCCCCCTTTCACCCCAACCAGATATAAACTCTTAACATCTTGGTGGAACAGCGTGTTCGGCCAATCGGATAGGTGCGCGGGCGTGGCCGTGCCTAAGCGCGGCTTTGCGTTTGGCCGAAGCCCCGGGGTGGAACACTGTGGCACAGTGTTTTATTTCGCGCAACTGTGGAGGGGCTGTTAGTTTCTGCCCTATCCCTCCCCAATAAATTCCTTCTCTCTCTCTAACAATTCTCCCCCCCTTTCCCGGCCTCACCGTCCACACAGCTCCCGCCCTATAACCATCGGCGCGGTATATACCACCTTCTTTCTCCAACTCCGACACATCGTCGGTTTCCCACTCCGACACATTTCTATTCGCCGTGCACCGTCGTCTCCTCGTCGCTGTTCGTCGTCATCCACGTTCTCGGTCTCTTTCGTTCACGTTCGTTTCTTTTCGGTGTATCGCCCGTTCTCTCCCTCTCGTACCCCACTGGATAGTTCACTTTTTTCCACCTTCTTTCACATTCTTTCCACCGCACTTTCTGTTTCTATCTCTCTATTTAATTTGCCGTCTCACTTTTACGTTCGCGCCCACCTTCTGCGACCTCTCGCTTCATAGTCCCCCTCGCGACATTCTGAACTCTTCCCTCCCCCCACGATCACCCTCCTCACGCTTTCTACTCCGCCGCAGCCCCGGCCCCTAGATCTCTATTCCTCCCCTCCATCGCGGCAGTTACCTCCCCCCCAACCGCCCCGCCGTTCAACCACCTTATCCGTCCGCCTTCAGCTCCCTCTTTGCTGCCGACACCACTACCGCCACCGCTTCTCTGTCTCTCCACGCTACCTGAATCGACTCTCCCGGGATGCTGCAATTGTTGACAATGCCGGAGAGCGAGAGAGAGTGCTGGCGAGAGGAGTCGGGCCGATTCCGCATTTCGTACCCCGACACCCGTACGAGCGGTGGTGCCGCCGCTGTTCTCTGCCGGCGAACTTTCGGAAGTGTGGGCGCGTGCGCGTGCTACCGGTCGAGCTTTCTCTCTTCACCGTGCACTCGTCCGCCACCTCCTTCGTCTTTCCTCTTCCTTGCCCCTCGGTCCGTCTCCCTTGCTCCACTGTTCGTGCACGCTCTACGTTTGTCGCTGGTTTGCTGGTACGGTGCCGGTTCGAGAGTTTCTACCGAACAGCGTTAAATGTGATTTCTTCGTTTGAAGTAAGAGACCCCGGTGTGGCCCGTGTGACTATTCCCCCCGTGGTCCTGTACGGTTCGAGCCGCACACTGTGGCACCATCTGTTTTATCGACTAACGATTGAGTGTGATCATCGCGAGCCCCCTGGACTTCGAGATAATACACGGACATCAGTGCCTTGGCTTGGAAGCACGGAAAACGGACACGGAAAAGAATAACAGATTACGAAATACCGATGGTTATGGGTAGTGAATGTTCACACGTATACGCGACGGTGTTAAAAAATGAGAGCGACGCGTGCTAGTGCGTACTGGGCTTTATGCTCGGTCCGGAACGATTATTCTCGGTGATCGGTCTCGGTTCTCTATGCTTGTTTTGTGCGTTCCAATGATGATGCTTACCGATCCGTGATCGTTCTTCGTTCTGTCACTTGTTTCCAGTGATACCACCACCGATTATTATTGTTCTTTAAGTTGTTCTTTTAACTTGAGCACGGTTTGACACGACTGTCGTTGTCTGTCCTGTCGAAACGATGTCGTTGCCGCGGGGTGTCGGTCTTGGTGTCGATGTTGGCCAATTGATGCAACACCAACAACAACAGCAGCAACATCACGTGTTACCAGCCGCGTTCTTCCTTCGTGCCAGTGCCGAGAGATACCAAAGGACACCGAAGTGCGCGAGATGCCGCAATCACGGCGTTGTATCTGCCTTGAAGGGCCACAAACGGTACTGCCGTTGGCGGGACTGCGTGTGTGCGAAATGTACACTGATTGCCGAGAGGCAACGAGTCATGGCTGCCCAGGTAAAGTGCATTCACGGAACTTTTGTAGAATTAGGGAAAACTATAACTATGGAATATGGAATACCGTCGATAGATGTCAGATCTGAACAATAATTTCATAACGTAGGTTATGATGTAGTGATGCGCAATTAGTTTCATCGTAAGGCACGTTCGAATAATATAACCTTAACGTTAGAAGGATGGTGCAGATAGGTTAGGTAGAATGTTGTGACACGATTTATTATCGATTATCGAGAATCGATTAACTATAACCGTTATTAACTCAAGAAGTGAGAAAACCATGGGACGAGACTTGCCAACTTTCGAATAACACTCGCAAACTAGGTTACATGTTCTATATTAGATTTTAACGATATTCTAGTATTACACGAAACGTAAGATTAAGTGTATGTATATCGATTGTATGTGTCGAACGCACCGTATTGCGTTTAATAATAGTACATACGAATTAACGTAATGCGAAGTGTAAAAAGATTACTGTACATGTTAAACGAATTCTATTTGGACGTTTTCAATGGTAAACCTACTTGTAGCAATTGCGATAAAAGCGTTGCGACGTGGCGTGCGCAAAGGGTGCCGTTTCCTTTTCCATGGCTTCGTGAAATGAATCAAGGAAGTGTGAACTGATTCAATTCAAATTGGTACGAGGGGCTCTTGAAACATGCGACTTTCTTCTCTTATCGTTTTACGTGCTTTTTAACACGAATGAGAATGTGAAACGCGTGTACCAATCATGCAGATTTCATTACTGTGTTTATTCTACATTTCAAAGACGTGTAACCTATTTTTAACAACTTTACCCCTTACTTCGAATTCGAATGCATAATTTGTTAAACAATTCCGTTTTATTCTCAACAATAGTAATGTGATATTATCATGACTCGATTCTTCAGATATCGAGTGTCTCGTTACAATATTTCGTTAGTGAGTCATGAATGAAGTTTCGTACTTACATGTAGTTTGATCCTCGCTGGATCGTAACGTTAAACCCACTCGAGGTTCTCAATTGCCAATCCTTGTACCCTCTTATTAGATTATTCCGATACCTTTCATCAGTTTCGATACCTTCCTGACTGCACGAGTATAATTGGTACTACTATTCCAGAGATCAGGTTATCGTAGAAATCTTAATTAATCAACTTCTTATTTGTTGCTTCGTTAAACGCTAAATATAAAGAAAGAAACCAAAGACATCTAAATTCCCTATAAAATCAAAGTTACGAAGCACTTTACATAACACGTCTTCTCTTAATTCGAACGCAATTCCATATGGTTCAACGATATTTCTCACAGAAGCGAACGAAGTAACAAAGTAAAGTTCGTTCGTTTATATTTTCCGTACACCTCCGCAATTCCAGTCTGTAATTAACGACGAAACGGTTTCGCAGGTCGCGTTACGGAGGCAGCAAGCTCAGGAGGAGAGCGAAGCTCGCGAGTTAGGCCTGCAATTGCAGTACAATGCAGGCAGCTGCACCACCGCCCCCGTGTTGCCTGGTGCAGCGAGTGCTACCACGCCAGCTGGTAGTCCGCCCCCGCACCCGGCCCATGTAGCCAGTCCAGCAGGACTGGCAATTCCAGCGGCGGCGGCGGCCGCGGCCGCGGCCGCTGCAGCACACATCCAGACGCAACTCCAACATCAGCAGCCTGATTGCGGCCTCCTGCAGCGGAAGAGGCTGCCGCAGGACGAATACCGACAGCCGAAGATCGAGAAACAGGAGTCGATCGGTGGAATTGCAGGTGAGTGGAACTCCAACACTTGGAATTGCAAGATACGCTTTCTTTCGCCTGGCGTCGACGAGCGTTGAAATTGCGGATTTTTGACAATTTCTGGAGTTGCCGATGAATTAAGCTGCGATAGGGAATTGCGCGGGTTTCGGTCCGTGGAATATTTATTCTGCTGGAGGTTGGTAATTCTGACCTGTCCTGTCGTAGAGCGAGGTGATAGCGAGGTGTAGGTTTATTCGTCGTCTTCTGGATATGTCGAGATTAGGAATTGCGGGGCGTTCACGCTTCTCTCGTAACCACGATTTTGGTCAAAATTGGTAATTGCGAAATGTGTCGCAAGGGGACATACTTCGATTCGAACCACTGCGATTGATTGTATTTTTCCGACCACTGGTATCTTTATTTTACTGCCCTTGTAGTGTTAACATATCTACATGTATATAAAAGTTACCCATTTGCACACGGCGAGCATAGCGTATCTCGAGAAAAGGAGACGACATGTTTTCGTCCATGGGGAACGATTGCACTGGGTGTAGGAATAAGTGCAGAGTACATATTTAAAGAATGGTAACCAGGATCTCGAGGCAACTGCGGCTCGGCTGAAGAATGTCCTGGCTATTTATCAAAAATTGCAAAACAAACGGGTTTAGCTGCCGGTGAGGTTAGTGACTGCCTTAGAGTCCCTCTCGTTCTCTGTTTGTTGATTATGTTTATTCATTACTTCTTCGTTGCGAGAACATGCTTGCTCAGTATCAAACATGAAAACATGTTTCTCACCTGAAGAAAATTCACGATTAAACCATCGTTAAACGCCCGATCCTTTTGCACCTTTTTTTTGTCTTCTGTATACAGTAATGTGTCTAATTCGAATTACATTTCTTCGTCAGATTTAGTGCCACGTTACAAAATTTTACACCGAATAATTTTCCTATAGTATCAACAATTTCCGAATAACCGAATTTACCTCACACTCACTTAATACTTACGAAAGAGAGAGTGTATATACACAGGGTGTGTAAGAAATGGTGATACAACTCGAAAGGAGATGAATCTTCGACATCGATTTACGAAATTCCGTACGAAGAAAACGTTACTCTACATTTCTCCTGTTGTACCAGCAGTTCGGTGACACCCTCTGTGTGGTGCGTGCGCGTGTATGTGTAACGTCAACGATCGTTCAGAGACCAAACAGGTGGGTCATCGTCGAAATCGCGTGTACACCGCGAGGCGTTCGCCAGGCCACGGGGACTGTGAGTATGTAGAGTGCACGCACGCTCTCCGTTCTTATGGGAAGGTGAACAACACGCGTGTGCACTTCACCGAGGGTGAGAATGAGCCAGCAAGGAGAGCGAAAGAAGTCTCGAGAAAGGAAGCAAAGGGTCGAGTAAACGGTGAAGAGAGAGAGAGAGAGAGAGAATGAAGAGAAAAAGAAAAAAAAAGCCGCCACTAACGAGTAGTACGAGACTTTAGCTTTGAGTGGTATAATAAGGGGCCAGGAGTTTGGCCATTATTTACTTAACATTATGGTCTCTGGCCACTTGCCCTATTTAGCCGCGTATGTTCACGCACGTTCCTAATGGCCACTCGTACGCAACTCAAGCGTGCTAAACGCATGCGCTCTCTGTCCCGTTCGCTAGCTTGTTCGTTCTCCTGTTGGTCGCGTGCCACATTTTTGCTGCTCGCATCGCAGTTTCGCGATATCGCGACGAAAAACCCCTTGGCTGCAATATGCACGACCATTCTCATGGTCTTGACTCTGTACACGAGAAGTTACTTAGCCCGCTGCTTCAGGGATCATTCGCTAATATGTGGTTAACGAAATCGCGATAGGTTTTGATAATTCACGTTGAGTAACGTATTCAAGGTTAATCGAGACACCGTGCTAAAAATTTCACATCATCTAAGATATTAAGGACTTATCGTACCAAGAGTTCGTCGTACAAAATTATTTCTACGATAGAGAAGAAAATTTCCTATTCTCTGCTACATAAACTACTAAACAAATCGTACATATACAGTGTAATCCAACCTTCAATTAATTACAAAAAAAAAAACACCGTTTGTCCACTGAAGTGAGTGTTAAA